CCATCAAACAACGTATATTAATTGGTGGATTTTTTACGGCTAAAGCCAAAAATTATTTACCGCGAAAGTAGCAGGTTTATGAAACGCGCCTTTTAATATTCCGATTTTCAATAGCAATAAATTACAATAGATGGACATGTCAATGCGGTTATAAGCAAATCCAATAACTGCAGCAGTTACGACGTCTTTATCCACATATTCAGTTATCTCCTGTTTTCTCAGTAAATATCCGGTTGCTTTTTATGCATTTATACCGTTCAGCACATGGAAATGGACATTTTGCCCGCAGGAATATTTGCCTACCGAATGGATCAACCTCACATGTATAACAAAACAGGCTTCAAACACACACGCTGGATATTCTGATGAAGCATTGAATATCCGATGGCAATTTAATCATCTCAGAACAGACGTGGGTGGTTCGGAGATGGGAATTAAAGAAAAAGGACAAATGAAAGAAAAACGCAAATCTTAGTAGCCAAGTGTAGAGGGGCGTTAAATAGAGCCAAAGTCCCTTACGCGACACCTTGTTTCCTCAACTATTTGTTATCGTAACAGCTTGGCACACATGTTGAATCCTGTAGAAGCGTTTTGAGGGCGCAGTCGCATCCCGGAGCCAAAAACCAGGCTCCCGGAACAGTCTGAAGCTTGCGGCCAACCTGTTGGCCCGAAGAGCTAACGCGAGAGAGTTTCTGGATAATCTCGTTATCCAGTTTTTCCGATTGAGACCCAATTTCGGCACTGACACGCAACAGGCACCGACTTGTTTGCACGAACTTTCGGTGATACTTCCACAGTGCTTTTTTCGACGCCGGTCACTTTACGGGTAAGTTTATCCGAGCAATTTGGAAACTTTCAGCTGCGAGAAGTTTTAACGCGGTTCAGCCAACAGAAATCAATCGAGAAGTTTTAGTCAGAAGAAACTGTTGGTCCTTTGGGTGTTGGGTTCGATTCCAATTTTTTGGAAATGTGTGATTTAATAAGCGTTTTAGTTAATCAACGGCAGGAAGTTGGATGTTGTTGGCTGTTTGAGACAGAGGCCCCAAAAAATTGGAAAACTAACTAAAATTGCTCATTTTTCATAACCGAGAGTGTTGTGACGCACATTTATTTAAAGTTCACTAAATGTGTGTTTGCAACTTGAAATTCTATTATTTGAAAAATCAAGGCTTTTCACTCCAAAACCGCGTGATTGTATTAATTTATCTGATTTTCTGGTTAAAATCCTGCCCTACAAAACTCGGTGATTTTTTTGCTGATAACCAGCCCCTAAATTATGAAAAGCTCGTGCGGAAACCAACAAAACCTGATTAACTTGAACAACTCGAATTACTTTTTTCTGGCTAAACATCCGAATTCCGAACACGAATATAAACGGAAAAATTGCAACGAGGCAAATATCATTCCGGGCGATTCAATTTACATCTCGTTTTACACTTTGCCGTCTAATCCGTGTCTTTTCAGTCGGCAGTCTTTGTTGTCGCTTCCATTATATATCTAAACAAGTATATTAGATCGAAAATGCTATTTAAGCCGACTGTTAGAGGACGATTTTCCTAAAATGCGCGCTATAAAAATAGGGAAACTGCATCGAAATGTTGGCTAAAGATGCTGATTGAAAAAGGCAAATGCTGGGCTTAAATGGCAAATGTTTGCAAAGGACAGCCAACTGATTAATGGTAAGTTGGAACATCAACATTCGGAAGTTACTCCATGCCATTTCCTTGTATATTGTAACAGCGGGATGTTTGCTGTAGCCCAATTTGCGTCGCTATTTATTCAGGC